GACACACGCACACACACACACATACACGTACACGTACACACGGCTTAAAGAATGATCTTTTACAATCTACTCATCGACTTCGTCACGATTCATACACCTTGATCCTTGATTCCTCGCCTCGGCCGCTTCCCGGACCCGCTATCCTTGCATTTTTTTCCCAATTATCGAACCTCGGATTTTTACTATCGGTTTCCCCTCTCGTTCGTTTCTTTTCCACCGGAGCTCTCCGAGCGAGCGGCCCGCAATTTGGGAGCGTCTAACAGACGGAACCGTACGCGTCGAGGTTAATACACCTTGATCCAATTCCTCGCCCTTCGTCCTGCCCGCTCGCCGAACCCCGTTGTCCTTGCGCTTGTTCCCCCGATTATCGAACCAAGGAATTTTTACTATCGCCCTCGTGCCTGTTTATTTAGTCTCCCCCGGTCCGCTCGAGCGGCGACTCGTAATTTAGACGCGTCTAACAGACGAAACTTAAACGTCGAGGTTAATACACCGCGATCCGGATCCTCGCCCTTCGTCCTGTCTGCTTCCTGAACCCTGTTATCCTTGCGTTTGTTCCTCGATTATTGAACCTCGGATTTTTACTATCGCTTTCGTTCCTATTTATTTCTTCTCTTTTCGGGTCCGTCGAGCGGCAATTCGTAATTTGGAAGCGTCTAACAGACGAGAACAGCCTCGGGGCCGAGGGGAAGAGGGGAGGAGGGAGGGGGAGAGGCTGGACGGTGGGGACGAGTGCGAAGGAAGGCTCATCGACGATTAACTCGAATCTACGGTTTCGTCGGGCTCGCAAATAAGGAATCCGCGCGCGAGAACTGGTTTCTCGGGCGACACTCTTCTCGGGGCACGGGTGGAATCGGTCGTTGGCGGAGAGGCACGAAAACACCGGATCCACCGACATTTCGGATATCGTGGCCCCCGTCACCGGTTAACGCGACTACCAAATTTATAACCGCGCCCGGGGAACCGGGGGATGCGCGCACGGTAGGGAACGGAGGAGGAGGATCCGCGCGGAGCGGCCGGGGGGACGGGGACGAGGATCCGACGAGAGGACCCGTGTACACGGGAAAGGGCCCCGGTGAATCGGTGTAATTGAAACAAACTTGCCGGACGGTTTCTGGTAATTCTTGTCGCTTCTCTAGCCCTCCTCCTTTCGCGATGTTCCCTCGGAGCCCGCTGTCCGACTTCGACAAATTGATGACTGGTGAGTTGGAAGGCAATTGGTAAGTCGGTTCTCGGAGTATGTGAACATTCCCGGTGGATTGGAGTTAATGAGCGGGCAAAATAAACGAACACGTGAATCTTCATGAAGTCTGATAGGGACTTCGCGTGATAAGCTGAAGCGAATAAAAGGACTGACGTCGATGATCCGTGTGTATTCATTAACCTCTCGTTTTATCTTGTTTTCCGAGCTAGCCGAGTAGAGCTATCCACGAAGGCTAGCGCAGCGATAACCACTTTCTACGTAAAATGAGAATCAAGCGTCAAGCGTTGACGAGTTATATTGACCAGTTATGTTCTTTCGACTCGGTGAATATACATAGTAGGGAAACTTTAAGCGTTCCGCTCGTTTTCATCGTGAATTGAACTGCTGCAACTTATCTTCATCGCGAACCTGCTACAGTTAACCTTCATCGAGAACTAAGTATCGAAAGAGATTAAACGAAGTTGGTAGCATACGAAACTCCGCGATTCCTTGCTATCAAGACCCTCTGAAACGCGCGTCCAAAATTAATTACGGAGAACTCGAGGCGATCCCACGAGTACACGGGAAACAGGAAAAATGTTCGACAGGTATCCTCCGCGAGATTGCCCGGAGAAATCGCAGGCCGCGGTTGAAATCGGCGCACAATGGTGCGCGCAGGCGGGCGGCGTTCAGAAAAGGAACGCGAGGAGGTCCTCGCAGCGTACAAAAGGGCAAACTGTCCGCGAGACGGAAGAAGAGAGGCGCGCAGAGCGGGATCGACGTTATTGTAATGCGAACAAACTTGCCAAAGGCATTAACACCGGCGACGGTGGTGGTGGTGGTGGCGGCGGTTGTGTTGGTACTGGTGGGTGAGGATCGTTCGGCACTCCCACCGTAAAAGAAAGAACAAGGGACGGACGAGCAGCAGCGGCAGCAGCGGCAGCAGCAGCAGCAACGCGCGGGAAACGGGCGAGGGAAGAGAAGCCGGGGAAAGAAGGAGGCGAGAACCAGCGATGCGATGGAAAAAAGGTGAGAGAGGAGCGACCGAGTGAATGAAAGAGCCAGACAGAGAGAGGGAACGGCGGAGAGCAGAGGCGAACAGAAGGTGGGATCGTCGGACACATTCAGGCAGTCAGCCACGAGAAACGAGAACGTAACAATTACTATCTGAGACCGATCGGTGCGGTAAGATTAACGATCTTACTCGTACCGGGCACGTCGGGGCCCGTCTCGGCCGCGATTGCTCATGGGAAGAGCGTGGGGCCAACGTTAAAGTCACCTCCTCCTTTGCTCAATGAGATATTGCCTGCCGGTGAGCGTAGCGCGCCATTCCGTGCACGGTAAATCGCGACCGCTTCACCCCCGTCCTCCACCTTTACGCCGTTTTCGCCGACCACGGTACGCGCGCATCCTCCTTTTCACGGGATTCTTACTCCCACCTTCGCCGACGACGCCGGTGGCGAGGAAATGAACTCAGCGTTTGTTTGTGCTTTTCCTCTGATTCAATGCCTCACGCGACGACCGGGTCTGGAGTGACCCGATGTCTGTAGGCTGGATCTGAGATTGTAAGGGTCGCGTTGGTATCTGATCGAGATGTTTGGAGGTTGAAATTGGAGGATTGTGGAAGACTTGGTGTAAGAAGGGGTTTTGTATTGGAGAATTTTTAAACGGTTGTTCAGTGGAGGTTCAATGTTTGAGTAAGGAGTAAGACGTGTGATTAGAAGTATGTTGGATATCGTTCGAAGATGTTCGAAAGAAGCGCACGACAACGAACCGGTGGATAATTCTCTGTGTCCAGCGAAGACGGTAGTGACGCAACCGTTGCACGGTAATCGGCATTCGCGGCGCGGCCTTATCGCCCGCTGCCCCCTCGGCGTCCCGAGCGGGGCGGAGATAACGAGGACATCGTCGCCGATACCGTTCGATCCGGCGATTCCACCGGAAAATCCGCTATCTCGGGACAAGCGGGCGCGGGGGGCGAGTCGGGGGAAGAGTCCGAGAGAGAAGCGGACCCCGGGCGGCGCGGCGGCGGAG